TACTTTCATCTCTTTCTTAATAAACTCAAAATCAAATTAAAAGTTTTTTATTCTGTAGGCTGCATAATAATATTGTCTATGTCCAGTATAGTGGACGTCTTGCGGCTGAGATGACGATGATGAAGTACAAAATCATAAACACCCAAAAATTTGGGTGTTTATGGGGTTTAAACCCAATAAACCCAAAACACCCGGTTTTTACCCACCAGACTTTAAACCCACCCAGGTGGATTGCCCATCTCTAGCAGAATGGTAATAAAACGTTTCTGTATTGTCGCATATAAATTTTCAACTCGTGTGAACATACAGTACTCAGTGTGTAGTGAAACGTTGGTTCTATTAGTAACAGCGAAGAAATGTTAATCAAAGTTGACATAATTATATCAAGAAACACAGAATCTGTTAGAAAGTTATTTAAATCAATTAGTGACTATTATCATAAATAAATCTAATTTTATTTATTTATATTTATTATATAGCTTCAGACTTTGATATACCTTGGCATGAAATTGTGTATGTACACTCAGCATGAAAAAACGACGCGTCAGCCAATAATTGGCGAATCGTTTTTCTGGGCGTTTTTTGACATTCGGCGCTCCATCTATTATAATTTTTTATGCAAGTGAGAATAGCAAAGAAGCTAACGGTCCATCTCATGGAAAGTACTTAATGTCGACTGTAGACATGGTAAGTACCACCGTCGACTGGACTGTACGAACACGAACAGTACTATAGATATAACAGAGTGTACTGTGCCGTCCATGAGACCCATCATGTGGTGCCATCCCTGATAATTAAGGTGTTATGCCTCTGTATCCTGCAGTTTCATTGCTATATCCCAACCATCAGATCGATAGACAACTAAGCAAATACAACTACTTCACGGCAAAAACGCGAATAGGAGATAGGTACCTAAGCTGACGACTTTGTACAAAGTCTCTTTCTGGTGAAGGGTATGAGTATATGCTTTTAACGATAAGGTCGCCCGTTTTCTTACTGTGATCATTTCTTGTATGTATTTTTATCTATAGTAACTTTACTACTGCAATCTTTTGGAGGAAACAATAAAGAGTCTATCTATGTATGACCTATGGAAGAGATATAGAATTACCAAAGTGATTTCAAATATCAAGTTACATATCAATACATTCAGCAGATACTCAGGTAGTTGAATATATTTGCACATTTAATTTGAAAGCAGTCCATCCTTGCAGTACCTAACTAATTAATAACTGCATACCAATTGCACAGAACTCTATTTGTATGATTGGTTCCTGCTATGTAGATTCATACTGACGTACAAAGACCTCCTTATAAAGGTGGTAGCCAGTATTCAAGCTTCGTATTATGGAAGGAAAACTAATTGGAGGTGTCTGTATTATATGTACATATTTAGTGTGACCAATATGTTTTCAGTAGTATCTATACTAATATTATAAATGTGAATGAGAGTTGGTTTGTTTCTTGCCTTATAACGCCTTAACAACTAAATCCTTTACTGTCAATTTTGAGAATAAGCAGCAACGTCCCTTTTAAAACATCACCAAAAGCCTAACTGCGGTAGCCAATCCGCCTGCCAAGCATGGCAACTACTAAAACTCCCCAAGGGGAAGGCTTATGTCTAGCAGTGGACAGTTAAAGGCTGATATGATGATAATGATGATGTACTATTTGAGAATAAAAAAAGAATAGGCTATCACATTACTTCGGTCAGTCAACACATTGTGGTTACGAGAACGAAGTCGCGGGTAGAAGCTTGTTAACTATATTTAAGTTTATATTACATTAAAACGAAAGTGAAATAATTTATTACAAAATTATGTGTTAGGAAGTATTCATTACAAACAGTTATGGAATCGCTTCAGGATGTTTAATTTAATTATGTCAAGATTATTTATTCAATGTCGCCAGAAACCTTATTGAGATGATGAAGTAGGAAAATAGAATTACAATGTTATGAATTAATTAATAATAATAATATAATAATCATCCTATCAGCCGTTATCAGTCTACTGCTGAACATAGTAATTTTTTTTTTTATTTTAGGTGTATTAACATTTGGTTAAGATTGTGTTATTAACACAATCTTAGCCAAACGTTGATAAATATATAAAGTATGATAAAGAAATTTATTAAATGAGTATAAATTTGTGACAACCCTATTTGAGTGAGGAGAGGTGCGGTAAATTTTGTCGGCATCGGTGCACTTACAAAGGAAAGTATATGAGTGTCACTTATACTCACATTATTTATTCTTATAGTAGAACATTATCTTAAAAGGATCCAAATTATTATGATTTTACTTTGTATATTATTGAAACAAACACATAGATAATAATCCTTCAAAGTAAATAATTTAGAATTGTTACTTCACAAGTCATGTTGTATGTAAAAAAACTTCTTCCTTTTCCAACTTATGTACCTAGACGTACATCTGTGTTCCAAACAAAGAAAACAAACTTTCATACAATCTAATTCAATTTTGAATTTCGAACTAATTCAAACAGCTCGAACTAAAAGCAATATATAGCGATTTGGACCGAGTCCAGATCTCCAACCCCAAAGACCAATTACTGGCGCTAAACATCGGTTCTAAACTTGGCGACCTCTGCTCGGATACCCGTGCTCTTAGTTTAGTATAACGATTTATACTACATTTATGGTAGCAGTGGCTTTCCCTTAATGGGTACTTTACGATGTAGTTACTTGCGCACTTATATTTGCAGCTGACGCAATAAAATATCGACCTTATTTATAATGGAATAAAAGTATATATTATTTATTGCAAAACGTTTGTACATAAGACTGTTTTACTTGGCCGAGCGGAAGAATAAAGTTTTCACAATTTGTGAGATCGAGGACTTGTTGGATTGTTAAAATAAAATTGTTATAAACATTTATTTATTTTAATATATATATATTTTTTATTTATGTTCTAATGTTTTAAAATTAATAACAGTACAGTGATAATTGCTTTGCAATACAAATGAGCTCACATTACAAATTCCTCGTGTGTAAGGTACGAGAATATTTTTCTTAAAAATTTATTAATAGACTAGTTTTTATCCGTAACTTCCTTCTCGTGATTGGGATACGTTGATTTATTGGGATAAATAGCAGCCTCCATTCCCTATAGTACGTATATACCAAATTTCATGACGATCGGTCGAGCCGTTAAGGTGCTAAGAGATAACAAATAAACTCACTTTTAAATTTATAATACTAATAAGGATTATGTCGTAAAGTTCTGTTCGTATGAATTATTGAAATAAAAATACCACTTCACGTACAGACGTTGGTATAAACATACTAAATATAATTTAACTTCTTCCTTCCATTTCAAAGTGATCGAGTTACGAATATCCAAATATATATTTTTATTAAATTTGACACTTACCTAGAGTTTATATGAACAAGAATGTAATATTTGAAATTTGAAATACGCGACGTAATAAAGCGACTTCATGACGTAATTAAATAAAGGAATATATTCTATGGATAGAAGAAAGAATACCCAAAATTCAAAATCGACGACGTAACCATATAAAGTATTGTCTGTCATGAACTGTCCACTGCTGAATATATATGGAACACATCTCCTATAAGAAGGGTATTGCCAGTAATTGCCATGCATTGCAGGCGGATTGGTAACCGCAGTTTTTATTTTGGTAATATTTTAAGAGGGACGCTGCTGCCCATCATATGCTCTCTCTTAGTCATCTCTTACGACATCCACGGGAAAGAAAGGGTTGGCCTTTTCTATGTCGGGACCTAGATAGCTAAATAATACAATATAGATTTAAAAAATAACACGATTTAAGAACTATTTTTTTGGAAATCGCTTTAAAATAGGTACAATTACAAAAAAACAAAACACAATTTCTATACGAGGCCATCATACGGCAAGTGAAACGTTCTGAAAGCCATAACAAGTTTTATTACCAGCACCACGCATCATTTTATTGCTCATCAACTTGCCACTAATAGCCACTTTGCTTTGAAGTAAACAGTGCTTTCTTTTTTGAGTTGTGATTATGTACTATTTGGATCTTATATTTATAATATAATTTTCCTTAAGACACTGCCAAACTAAAGAGGATCTCGAATGTTTGATTTCTCTTGAGGATATAATGAGCTCACCAATTTTAAATTAATGATTTTTTTATAACATGGGACAAACAATCATGCGGCTTACTTGATAGTCATGAGCCGCATGCTTGTATGCCTCCGCTCATGAGCGTCCTGTTATACCCTAGCCCTGTACGGGTTAGTGCTGCGTTGGCGCTCTAACCCACCTTGGTCAGCATTTCTGCTTCCCTTGACGAGCAATGGCCATTTTTAAGTCAGTCTGTCTCGAGCTTTCAAAGCGAACGGTTGCCTAAGGACATACAAACTTATTTTGTCCTAAGTCCTTTATTTTAATATATCGTGTGTGTAAACCATTCCTTTTTTTAAAAACCCAATTGAGGTAATCCGTATAACATTTTTGGTGGCAGCGGTGGGATCCGGAAATTCCAGTAGCCAGGCACCGTTCAACAGACTCCTTCTCTGGATCCTACATCTTAATGAACTATAGTATCCTAATCATAACTGTACTTTGTGTTGGTGAATAAGTGTGAATTCTAAACCACGAATAAGTTCCTAACTACGCAGCGTGTTCAATTCCCGATTCGCAGAAGAAGAAACTTCTATCCTACTTCGTGCTGCTCATCTTGGTATCCTGTTCCTGAAGAAAAATCCATTGATCAGATCATCTTAATTCGACAACTGGAAGTAATAATTGGCGACGTGACCTTATCGCATCGGAATGCAGCCAGCCGCCGTCGTAGCGTTCTTATCGGCCGCCTACGTATTCTTCGTATAGTAAGTCTTTGGTCATTGTTTATCTTAACTCAACATTTAGGGTTCTGTGAGGCATTTAGTTTATATCAATACATTTATTTTATGTACCAATTTTATTGTTATTACAATTTTTAATTTTAACCAGTTTATGACCTACTCTGTAATTTAAGTATTATGCCAAAATTTCCTAAGGTTGAAGAAAATACATTAACTATTGATACTGCCACAGTAGATCAAGATATTACCAATACATTAGTGAAGTCACCACTTTCTTCTCCTCGTATTACTAGAAAGGCAGCAGCAGCTCTAGCTATGGCCGAATTAGAACTTAGCATTCTATTTAAATTTATCAAGTCTTACAATGGCGACAGGGAAACTCTAAATTCATTCTTAGTAAACTGTGATAACGCTTTTGATTTAGCTACAGAATCTCAAAAACCTATCCTATTTAAATTTATTCTTAGCCAATTGAACGGGAAAGCGGAGGTTGCTTGTTCTATTAAAGATTTTACATCATGGGAACAACTCAAGGAATTCCTAAAAACCCAATTCAGTGAACGTAAGCACTATTCGCACCTCCTCACTGAACTCCAAGAGAGCAAGCAAGGCCCGCAAGATAATGTAAGCCAATATGCCCTTCGCGTAGAGACCTACCTCTCACAATTGTTGACCGAAATATCCTTGTCCAATACTAAAGTAAAAGAATTACCTGGCCGCACTGCAGCCATGGAGGATTTAGCTCTCCATCATTTCCTTATGGGGCTTCACCCCCGAATTTCAAACATTGTGAGATGCAGATCTCCTAAAACATTGAATGAAGCTATCAATTTTGCCGTTTCCGAAGAGCGAATTCAACAAACACTGTACAGACGCCCACAACCAGAATCAAAACCTAATAACAGTAATGCCAACAAATTTAAACCAACACATTATAAATCAAGTAATACATCCCCATCTTCATACAAACCTTTTAACCCTGCATCGCAAGCAAGCTCTAGCCTATTTTGCCGATACTGTAAAATTCCCGGTCACGATATCTCCATGTGTAAGAAACGCGAATATAATAACAATCGTTTCAAAATCCCACAAAATCCTATATCTAGCCAAAATCCTTATGGGGCATCCCCACGTAAACTTCCTCGAAAACCAACCTAATGAAGACGCAGGCCGTGATGAAGTAGATACTTTAAACGAATAGATGTCTCGATTTGGCGTCGCGCGAGACAAAAGCCTAAAGTCGATGCCGTATTCAAACCTTCTACACTACGGGACCACACGGGTAACCAGCCCCAAATAAGCGCCCATTCCATTAATCTACGGGACCACACGGGTAACCAGCCCCAAATAAGCGCCCATTCCATTAATCCAAGGGACCACACGGGTAACCAGCCCCAAATAAGCGCCCATTCCATTAATCTACGGGACCACACGGGTAACCAGCCCCAAATAAGCGCCCATTCCATTAATCCAAGGGACCACACGGGTAACCAGCCCCAAATAAGCGCCCATTCCATTAATCTATGGGACCACACGGGTAACCAGCCCCAAATAAGCGCCCATTCCATTAATCCAAGGGACCACACGGGTAACCAGCCCCAAATAAGCGCCCATTCCATTAATCTACGGGACCACACGGGTAACCAGCCCCAAATAAGTGCCCATAATATTAATTCTCGGGACCAGGTAAACAACCAGTCTCGAACCGGCATCCAAGAAATATCTAAAGCTATTCCTTCTGATACTCATAATTTAGAGAATATCTCTAAGCGCAATGAGACCAATATCTATGAGGTAAACATAGATACATCAAAGAGAATGTTACCGCATGTGTTACTAGATTCACCAGTCTCAGATATCCCATTGTCCTTACTGGTCGATTCAGGCTCTGCTATATGTCTTCTAAAAGAATCCAGTATCCATAATAACCAAAAGATAATTAAAGAATCCATTAAACTTAAGGGTATAGATCCCGGCGACGAACCGACCCAAACAGTAGGTCATTTCCAACTCAAGCTCAATTTAAGTGATAACAAATTCGTGCCTTTTAAATTTCACGTCATCAGAGACATTAACCTACCCTATGATGGAATAATAGGGACCGACTTCCTGACCACTTTTGGTTGTAAAATCGATTATACTAACGATAGGTTGAAAATTGGTAAATTCGATATCAAATTACATTTTTCCGAACCTTTTTATGTAATTCCCCCTCGAACTGAAACCGTTATTGAATGTTCAATTAAGAAGACCAATCTTAAAGAAGGCATAGTTACCGATCAACACATTTCCGATAATATTCTGATATCTAACTGTATTGTTAAAATTAAAGACAACAATTGTGTTAATCTAACCATTGCAAATGTCTCAGAGTCTTTTATAAATATCAAAAAAAACCTAAACCTCAAGGTTGAACCTTTAGAACTTACTGTGTTCCCAGTAACTCCGAATACCCAAAAGATATCTAAACGAACTGATGAAGTTATTCGCTCACTAAGAACCGATCATTTAAATCAAGAAGAAAGGGAAGCTCTTATTGAACTTTGCTCCCAATATTCGGATATTTTTCACCTCCCCAATGATCAATTATCCTATACCACCGCCCTTGACCACAAAATTAAGACGAGCAGCGAAACTCCTATTCACACAAAATCATATCGATTCCCAGAATTTCACAAAAAGGAAGTAGAGTCACAAATTAACAAGATGCTTGACCAGGGCATCATAGAACATTCATCTTCCCCATGGAGTTCACCAATCTGGATAGTCCCTAAAAAATTAGATTCTCAAGGTCAACGAAAATGGCGAATAGTTATCGATTATCGGAAATTAAACGATATCACCATCGGCGAGACATATCCTATCCCACAAATATCCGAAATACTTGATCAGTTGGGAAACTGTAAATATTTTTCAACATTAGACCTTACTTCTGGCTTCCATCAAATCCTTATTTCCCCCCAGGATGCTCCCAAAACTGCTTTTTCCGTACCTCAGGGCCATTTCCAATTCAACCGAATGCCATTCGGACTTAAGAATGCTCCATCTACATTTCAAAAACTAATGAATAATTGTCTTTATGGTCTTCAAGGCACTCGATGTTTCGTATATTTAGATGACATAGTCATTTACTCACTTGACCTTGTCTCCCATATTAATAATTTAAGAGCGATCTTTGATAGAATTCGTAAATTTACTTAAAACTCGAACCAGGGAAGTGTAATTCCTAAGAAAAGAAGTCTCCTTTGGGACATGTTATTAGTGAAGACGGTGTAAAACCAAACCCAGAAAAAACTAAGGCGGTATCAGAGTTCCCTATTCCTCAGTCTCCCAAGGACGTCAAGTCGTTTCTAGGTCTGGTATCGTATTATAGAAGATTTATACTTTTCCAAAATTAGCCAAGCCTCTAACATCTCTCTTAAAGAAAGATACCCCATTCCAATGGCAAAACGAGCAACAGCTCGCTTTTGAAAATTTGAAAAATAAACTAATCTCCGCTCCCATCCTGGCATACCCAGATTTTACGCAACCTTTTCTCCTAACATGTGATGCTTCAAATTACGCGATTTCTGCCATATTATCCCAAGGTCCCATAGGAAAAGACCGTCCTATCGCGTACGCCTCTAGAACTCTTAATAAAGCTGAGTGCAACTATATATAAAAAGAATGTCTTGCCGTAGTCTTTGGCACCAAGGTATTCAGACCATATATCTATGGCCATCGTTTCACTGTTCTAACGGATCACAAACCATTAGAATGGCTATTCAAGTGCAAAGACCCGGGATCGCGACTTATCCGTTGGCGCCTGAAATTGGAAGAGTTCGAATACGACATTCAATATAAAAAGGGGAAAATTAATACTAATGCGGATGCCCTGTCCCGATTTCCTGTTAACCCAATCCAACCTGAAAACGCCCCTAGTGCCCAAAGAGAATCTCCTTCAATAGATGAAGATCTTATGGACTTATTAATATCACCTCCTTCATTTAACCCGACCGATTTCCACCTGGTAGCTGGTGAGGATATCTTGCCCTTACCTGAAATAGACTTATCTCCAACAGATCTTCTCGATACCAACCAGGATACTCCCACATTACCTGGAACAACCTTATCTTCCTTAAATCCTAATCAAGACATTCCAGCGCCATCTGAAATAAATCAGCACTCTAGTGTACAGAGAGGTGAAACTGACCTAATTAATTCCCCCAATGGTAATACCACACAGCCATCTATATATTGAAGCTGTATCTACGTCACCTACGAACGTCTTTCCCAGATTTACCTAACGACGACTATTCCACCTTCCTGAAAACAATTACTAAAAAGGAAAACACCTTTAACACGAATATCTTAGAACACAACGAAGACATCAGTAAATCAACCCACAAAATCATTGTCTTACCCACTTCCATTGATCTGGATGAATCTAACCCATTCATTCAAAATACTCTTGATAGTCTACCTGACAGCTCTGAAATACTGAATAAAGAAAGACCTCTTATTTTATCATTTAATATATATATATATATATATATATATATATATATATATATATATATATATATATATATATATATATATTAATTTAGATGTTGCTAAACCGAATTTAAGAACCCTTTTGATACTCACCAGTATATTAAGATTTATAACATGCTCCTATATTTGTTCCACAATACCGGTATTAATATACATATATTTAAAAACAAAATTATATACCCAGCTCTTTCTGAGATTCCAAAAATACTTCAAGAGAACCACGATATTCCAATTGCGGGACATCTTGGTAGTACTGTATGCTTAAAAGAATTCAGGAAACTTTTTACTGGAAAAACATTGGTGATATTGAGACTTTTGTAAAGAAATGTTCTCAATGTCGGACTAATAAGGCCCTTTTAATCGAGCACCCATGCAAATCACCAGCACTTCGACCGAACCGTGTCAAAGAATATCTCTTGACATTGTCGGACCACTTCCCGAAGCAGGACCAGCAAAACTAAAATATATCCTAACTATACAAGATGATAACCAAATTCTCTTCCGCGTATCCAATTCGCAGCATCACAGCAGAAAACAAGCGAATGCTTGCTTCACTACATATCCATCTTTGGTATTCCTAAAACAATACTCACAGATCAAGGGACCAATTTCAATTCCGATCTATTCAAGAAGATTGCGAAAAATAAAGAATATGGTCCTCCCCATACCACCCACAAACTCAAGGCGCTTTAGAGCGTAGTCATTCAACTCTTAAAGAATATCTAAGATCCTATGTTAATGAAGAACAAACAAACTGGCCCCGTTACGTCTATACAGCCATGCTCACTTACAATACATCTGTCCATTGCACAACTCATTTCACACCTTACGAACTTATGTTCGGAAACAAACCATTCATACCAAACTCTATTTACGAAATCGCTAAATATATATTATGTTCGCATGCTTCAAAATCGATTAAAATACTCTAGAGAAAAGGCTCTGGAATTCATAAGAAATCTAAAGAATCTTCCAAATCATACTATGATAGCCATACTCGTCCAATCAGATATAAGGTTGGAGAGTATGTATATTTAAGGAATCACTTGAGAATAAAGCCCTTTCCCCACAATGGAAAGGCCCCTACAAAATAATTATAAATAATAATAACACACTTACTTTACTCATCAACCGGCGCCATGTGACCCATCAGTTCGATCAAGTGAAGGCAGCAGACGTTAGTGTCACAAATTAGTAGTTAATTTTGATATCTTAGGCTAATAAGTTAGTAGAAGTAAGAAGCAAATAGGATTAGGAATAGTAAATTATAAGCATTATTTTTATTATTTTTATTTACTATACAACCATTATTTACAGCCCAGTTCGAGGTCATTCACAACAAGATTACATTCAGCCAATTACTACAAGCTCAGGCCTTTACTATGATTATCTAGGGAACCTTAAGATTAATAATGTAGAGTTAAAAATACTAATACCTGTAGACATTTCTCATTTCGGCCCAAATATTCTAAACATTGAAACTGCCTTAAATACTACAGAACAGTTATGTAACCAAACCAGAAAAGGAATTGATGCGGAATGTCATAAATTATTACTACCACTAACAGTAAGACTTCACGATATGAATAGAGACTTTGCATCTATCTCACATTTAATGGATAACAGATTCAGACGAAACGCTTGGATAGGAGGTATAGGAACAATCCTAAAACATATTGTAGGTTCCTTAGATGAAAACGATGGATTAAAATATGACGAAGCGATACGATCCTTACAAAATAATGAAAAACAGTTGGCTTCACTAATGAAGGAAAATATTTTGGTTACTGCCTCTATTTTAACACATTTTAATGATACTTTAAGTAAAATAAGAGATAATGAAATTAATCTTAATGAAGCTATCGACAAACTCTCGTTAAATGTAAAAAACATTAAAGAAACCACCGATGAATTACAATTACTGGCCAATATTAATGAGATAGTTGGTATCCTAGAGACGTCAATACTCGCTTTATCATTCCAATTAGAAGACATAATTAACGCCATTTTATTCAGTAGTCAAAATATCCTGCACCCTGCAATGATAACACCAAGTCAGATATACCGAGAGCTTGCCGATAACTACAGATACTTGCCCAGCGATCTCGAATTGCCTGTAAACTTAGATATTAAGTCAATTTATCTTATTTTAAGTATTTCTAAACTATTATGCTATTATGTTAATAATAAGATTATATTTGTTTTGCAAGTGCCACTGGTCAATACCAGAGAATATGTATTATTTCATAGTATTAGCTTACCGACACCGTACAACCCTAAAGAACCAGATTCGTTTAGCTTAATCATACCCGAAAATAAATATATAGCAATGACCAAAGACAAATCCCATTATTGCGTTTTCGACAATATGGAAATCTGTAAACCCGTAAGTTTGGGAAGTTACATATGCGACATTGAAAATGTGTATTCCGTGGATGCGAAACCTGTATGTGAAAGTGAATTATTGGCGAAAGTGATAAGTGAAAAACCAGTACAATGTGAAACCAAAATAATAATAGGAGAACTGGATGTTTGGAAACCTTTGAAAAACAATAAGTGGCTCTATATTCAATCGAAACCAAATAAAGTTTCAATAGACTGTTTAAATTCAAAATTATACGAAACAACCATTTTAGGCACAGGCATATTGAGCATCCCGGATAATTGTATTGGATACTGTAAAAGCACCACACTAATACCAAGACACAACATTCTAAATATCACTTCACCTATTAACCATGTACCAGAATTTAATTTGATTAATGACACTTGCTGCAACTTAGTTAAGTTAAATATATTTTCAAATAATGTGTCTCCTGTTCAACTACAAAATATTGATTTAGATGAATTTAGTTCAAAAAATAAAATAATTATAAATTCCCTTTTAAATGAATTAAGGGCAATTGAACATCCTCAAAGCCCACATATTGTTAAATATGGGACACAATATTCTATTTTTATAATTATAATCTTAGTGTGTTTTATTATTATTATAGCATATATAATTTTTAAGGAATTTTGTAGAGCCGGCAGCAACCGCCACTTTCGATTCAACTTTAAGAAATCATCTCCCATATCTGCTCCCAAAACAATAGACAACACAACTAACAGACAAGACTCTGAAATAGAAGTAATTACACCTATTGCCCCATTAAGGACCAGAATTTGAAAGAGACTCGGATCAATCCCAAGTCTCTTCTTAAAGGGGGAGGTGTTATACCCTAGCCCTGTACGGGTTAGTGCTGCGTTGGCGCTCTAACCCACCTTGGTCAGCATTTCTGCTTCCCTTGACGAGCAATGGCCATTTTTAAGTCAGTCTGTCTCGAGCTTTCAAAGCGAACGGTTGCCTAAGGACATACAAACTTATTTTGTCCTAAGTCCTTTATTTTAATATATCGTGTGTGTAAACCATTCCTTTTTTTAAAAACCCAATTGAGGTAATCCGTATAACAGTCCGTAACACCGGAGGAATTTCACACTAAGCTAAGCCGAACCGAACCTTTATCATTTTAGTTTACTTAACTTATTTTCAAAAAACTGCTGCTGGAAGTTAACAATAAATAGTTAATAATAGGTTAATAGTTAATCCCAAAGCGTGGTTTCGGCGTGGAAGAAAGTGTCTTGAAAAATACACGGCGGAAGACTGCCATCCATCTAGATGGTTGGGATGGAACATTAGTTTAAGGTTGGTTGCACGATAGTGAAATACAGCAGCATTCAGTTTGGTTGCTTGTATGCGTTTAAAATTGCGTTGATACGGAGTAACATCTACTTGTTTATAATGAAGAATTTAATACAAAAAAAAGTGTGTGACTGATCAACTAATGGCTATGTAATATAAATAAGTCATCTATAGAAGTTCAGGAGATATATGTGAACAAACTTTTTGCTCGTCCGCAACAACTTTCCTATTATTTGACGTGCGTGTGTACACACTGTTGGATATAATGGATGTTAGAAGTTTGTGAAGTTTGTGCAGGTGAAAGAATGATTGGTCTATATTAGGTTGGATTTATTTTGACTTGGGCGGTTTTTACGCGTCACGTCCTATTTGATTTGGGAAAATTTTCTTCATGCTTTCCTAATAATACTTGCTTACAGTTAGTATTAATACATTAAAAGAAGGATAAATAAAATAAAATATATTTTCATGATTGTAATATTTAAATAGGTAGTCAAAGGTATTTGTAGATTACTACCATCGATGAGCTTATTGAAATCTAAAGTGGCAGATGGCTAGTCTACCAACGTTACTCGGATTAATAAATAATAAATAAAATAAAAAAGCTTTTTATTTCCCATTATAAAGAAAAGAAAAAAATATATATTACATGCAATTTCATTCAATAACAATTATTTTCTTAATAAAATAAATTTATAAAAAAATATTCAATCGATTAGATTTTACTTAATAAATTACTCAGATTAATTGATCTAAATTAACCAAAATCTTGCTGTAATAAAATACTAACTTTATCACAGAGGAATTTTCTACTGAATCGTCAGCCTGGGAACCACTTCCCTCACTTATATTTCTGCTGCTGCAGCTATGTCGGTGCTACCGTGATTGTTTTGTGATTTGTATAAAATTTCTTTGTGTTCTTTTTATTCAGTTTAACAAATACTATCACTAGATAGCGGCTTGTTATATTCATTCCTTTACAAATGTAAGTATATATATATATATATATATATATATATATATATATATATATATATATATATATATAATCTAGTCCTTTTATAGTAATGATAATAGCTGTATTAAGGACCTATTATATTTATCTATGTAAACTTCCATAAAAAGTATATATAAATTTTGAACAAGCTCTATCTGTGTTCAAAACTTCATTCAAATTATTTTAAATATTATTTTTACAAACTTTCATATTTTATTAAGAGTACTATTATGAGAAAATATATACAAGTCTTTGTTTAGGACAGTGTACGTATATAATTATACGATTGTACACATTTTTAAATTAAATATTCGTAGGAACAAGGTACAGCCAAGTGTGGAAAGATCATCTAATTACAGAGGGCAAAGCCTTTTGGAATCTTTTACTTAATTTTATTATAAGATTGAATATTAAGATAGGCGGTATTTTATTTTATCATTAAAGCAAATTTATTCAAAATTAAAATTAAATTAATATAACAAGAAGAAATTAAGATAATTTTAATATTAAATGAACAATAATTGGGATCATTTGAGAAGCGGATCGAAGGTATAAACAATCAAAATTTTATATTTTCGTAGAGCTGGTGTTAAAATATAATAAAGAATATTATAAAGAATATTATATCGATAACTGTCTTTATATATACACATATAACATAATCTAAATATTATATTTATTTAATTTATATTTATAAGAAATGTAAGAGTTTATTAACATATACTATATGAAGTCGTTGTTTTATTTTTACCTGAATGTTGAAAACAATTATTAGTGAAATTGTTGACAGTTTTATGTTGTTATTTATTTCGAAATGATTTCAACAAGCAGGAAGATTTTAATTCAGCGTAATTCCTCTTTAACTCTCTTCGACAATTGACGAAAAATTTTGATTTATTATTTCAATTATAAAAGTTTATTATATTGTTGATTCAATATTGCTTAAGTTTAAAGTTAGGTGTCTTTAGATATATATCACAAAATATTCTACAAAGTGATATATTCAAAATCATTCAATACTCTGAACACATGCGTTCGAATATAACGAAAACCTATAGAAGAGAAAGAAAACAAATTCCCAGAGTGGAAAATAAGTTCAAAGCGGGCCAGTGTGCTTGGGCGAGAAAACCCAGTGGCATGGAAAGTGTTTCCACTAGAACGGGCCGAGGGACTCACTGGGGTACCCTTGGTTCTCATTCATCATCCAGTTTATAGCTAAATTGATGACATAATACCACTTAAATTAAAATTTTAATATATTAGCTTTAATATTTTTTCTTTATATCATGTTTGAAAAATAATCTTGATAAATTTTTCGTATAGATTTTAAAATAAAAAAAAATTAAAAAATATATTTTTTTAAATACATTATCACCTAAAATTTGAATGTATCAGCTTTAATTTTTATCTATTTCCCTTGAATAATATTCTTAATAAGTTTTTGTAACGGAATTGAGAACATAAAGATAAATAAGCCGAATTGTTTCGTATAATTTTGGTGGTTACATTTAAATTCAAATTTCAATGTATAGCTTTAATCCATTTTATTTTATTTTGTCATAAATCACGAAACTAGTTAAGGATCTTTGTAAAAGTATAAGAAAGTCGATATACGATTAGGTTTACAAGAAAATAATGTAATAAATTAATATAATTATAAATATTGTAGAAAAGTTTATATTTTAATATAAACTTTTCTAAAAATATTAGTTATTCCAAAAAATTAAAGAGCTTAATTTTAATCCATCGCGTTGCCTTATACCTCCTGTGACAGAGAAAGCAGAAATTTACATATATATGTATATAACTGAACTATACAATATGTGTCATACATATATAATACAATGTAAGTAGTTAAGTACTCGTACTTAAGTAAGTAAGTACTTAACATCATACAGTTAACGGAAAGAAATAGTTTTCGAAAAACAATAGTAAAATGAAAATGTTACGAATTGAATATTATTTACACAATTTTGTTTGCAAAATAAACTCCACGAGAATTGGAATATAATAGACTGGCCACTATAATAGAATCGTAAGGTTTGAAAATTTTATAAGTACTTGGATTATTTTTAAGGACAAGTTGGCTGACTGAAAACTAGGGAAGAGAGAGAAAATTTGGTAATAATATATTTTATCCTTTTCCTTTTCATAACAAAATCGAAGGGATTTAAAGACAATATTATAATGTGTAGGTATTAACCAAACTTGAAAACTAGGATGTATACATACTCGTATGTATGTCGGCGAATCCTCAGATATAGCTTGACACCGTCACTGTATGACATTGTATAGAATGTAGAGGTCTTTGTTAATTGGTTGGTTAATCTTTTACGCAGGGGTTCCGTAAATGGATACTAAAAAGGGATTTCCCTCTATTCTCAGGGAACGGGAGATAACAGGACCCGTGCAGACAAAGCCGCGGGAAATAGCTAGTAGTACCTACATTGTTGATATTTTTTATTTTTATACTATTATACTTGAAATGGTAACACAAAAACAGAGTAAAAATTCAAGACCATCGTTTTCGAAAGAGTATCGTATGCATGAACGAAATAACCTACAATTCTTAAAATATGTTTAAAATTTGTTTTAGCTTCGTAAGTATTTTGTTATAAGGAAATATATACCCTTTCGGAGATCGCGCGATGAGGATGAAGTGCAATCAAACAGTAGTGTTATGGTATACAAGCATAATTAATATTTTGATATAATGTCACACCGTACATGCAAGAGAAACAATGGATACAGACAAAAATTCAACAGGTTACAACAACGTTTTTTCGCTCCCAATACATATCATAGCATAACCTTTTTGCGCGGCAAAATGATCTGTCAAAAAGACAGCGTTGTCACACTCTTATAATTAAGACGAATTTATAGGAACACACTGCAAATTTGTACTCGTAAAAATTTATCAAGTTCGTATCTGTATCTAAAAATAAATACATCATTTCTCTAGTAATATCCACAGTTCTGCTTAGTTTAGAATTAGGTAGCGCTGTATAATATGTCTAAGAGTATTTCTTTTTTATTTATATTTATATATAATGTGTGAGTTTGTTTGTTACAAACAATAATTATGAAATTTAGCACAAATGTTATATTTATACATTATATTCGTTTATACAGGCCACTTTTCCTATAAGTCATGCAGTAATATTCGTAGGCACAGTTAGTATTTACATTTTATTTTCGTCTTAGTGACCGGGATATGATTATTAATCGGATAAGCTAAACATTGGTTGTTACTGTATATATATATATATATATATATATATATATATATATATATATATATATATATATATATATATATATATATATATATATATATATACAGTTCGTACTACAACTACTAACACATCAAATAGTGTGGCGTTACCAAACAAACAAAATTGGCCACCAAATACAAAATTGTAGTTCTGTTTTTATTATTTTGTAATACAAATTAATTTGAAATAAAATTTCTAAATTAATATAGTAAGGATATTTCGAAAATATTATCCTCCAGCTTTCTTCAACACTGGGGTAATAAATAACAATTTAAAGTATCAACGAAGATTTTATGAGTAACAACGATATTATATTTATAGCGTTATTATTAATAGATTTCATCTGTATTCGCAATCTGTCTTTAATGAAATCGTTTAGAGTTGATGGCAGATTAAGCTGAGCAATTAACTGTTTTACAGGCCATCCTCAAGATCTAAATGAATCGTTATGGAATCCATTTTAAAACGTTTTAGCTAATGAGCATTCCGTCGCGCAACAATCGAATAAGAACTGTTCCGACTCGGTATT